TTTAAATGAATTTTTTATTATTTCAATATCATTAAATGATAATTGACATTTCCAATAAATATAAAAATTAAAATAAATTAAATTCGGTATTAAATCAGGTAAACAATATTGACGAATAAAATTTGCATCAATCAAAGATTTCATTATATTATGATATATTTTTTTTTTTAAGCTATCATGTTTAATATGAAGTTGAAGTTTTTCAATATAATTTAAATTATTGAGAAGCCATTTTAAATAAATAAATTCATAATCCTCATCAATGAAAGTTTTTAAAATAAAATATTTTAATTTTTTTATCTAAAAAAGAATTTAATTATTTTTATTTATTAAAAGAAAAAGAATTTAAATAAAAAAAAAAACGTTAATTATTCTTTTTCTTACTTTATTATACCAATTTGTCTTTGATTGTTTTAATATTTCAACATTTGATTTCTTCCAAGGTGCAAACGAACCTAATGAACAATCTAACTCAACTGATAATTTTTCAAGATTAGGTACATGTTCAATAAGATCTTCAAGAAAACGTATTTGATTAATTCGGATATATAAATAACGAAGAGTTACACAATAAGATTGATGTTCATACGGAATTAAATTGGAAAAGATATAAAAGTTTGATGATAAACATCGATGAATACAACCATCTCGAGGTTCATTACTAATATCAAGTCGAAAAGATATTAATTGACATTTATCAGAGAATAATTTACAAAGAAATTGTTTGATCATAATCATTTCATTTTCTATTATTTATTCGAAAAGAACAAAAAAAAATTTTATTAAAACAAAATCATCACATTCAAAGATTAGAATATTCTTTCTTTATGAATTAATTACACTTAACTGTTAAGAATCTCTAAAAGGATTCTTTTTTTTAATAAAGACTAGTTCGTTTTAATTGGAAATTTTAAATATGTAAAACTTATGTTTATGAAACATTATTTTTCTATGTATCAGATCATCAAATATTAAGTATAAGGGGTGTTCTAGAAGTTCTCGAATGATTTTCGAATTCACTATTCTCACGTCCAACAAAAGCAAACTTCATCAAACTTTCAAAGATTATTATACATAATTAGTATTACATAACTAAAAGTTTCAGATCTATAGCTTGTACTATGAATGAAAATCAGTAACAACACCATCATACTCTATCTTTTCAATTTTCCTGTGTTGAGGGTGTGCCAAAATGTCTATGTCTCAGTTTAGATAGACGATAAAATCTTGACATTTTTTTGAAAAGATGCGCCATGAAACGCTCAATAAACTATTAAAACAAGTCAATAGAGATTTGTTAATACAATTTTTGTAGAGCTTTTCATGGCACATATTTTAAAAAAATTCGAGATTTTACCGTCTACCTAAGTCAAGATATAGCCGAAGTCTATATATACAGTCTACGACAATTGAATTTATACCCTTCGAATTTTTTGTTTTTTATTAATATACGTTTTTTATCTATTAACCTACTATATATAGGAAGAAAGCCTGGAATGCGCTGCATCTTTTGGTATATTTACAATGATCATCAAATGCAGTTTAAAGTATAAGAAGTGTATCAGAAAAAAAGTGACATTTTTTCTTTTTCCAAATTTCGCGTATCCGTACTGGTGTAATATTTTTTATTTCGCATATATCTCGGCTTAGGTAAATGATAAAACGTTGAATTTTTTTCCAAAAGATGCGCTGTGAAAAGCTCTACAAAAGCTGCATGATTGAATTCTTTTTTATCTGTTCTAGTGATTTTTCTGATACTCACAATGAAATAACTTACATAGCAGTATCACTTCCCATCATGTAGAAAACGTTTCGAGAACTTCTCTGATTCACTACAGGACTTGGTCTATACAAGTTTTGTAGAGCTTTCGACGGCACACCTTTTTGAAAAAAGTTCCATATTCCGTCATTTTCTCAAGTCGAGATATATGGCTATCAAAAAAGGTCTTCCAACAGTTCCAGTATGATGGGAAGTGACACTAACATGTAATTTGTTCATTTTGAGTATCAGAAACATTACTAGAACAGGTAAAAGAAGAATTCAATTACGCAGCTTTTGTAGAGCTGTTCACGGCGCATCTTTTGGGAAAAAATTCAACGTTTTATCATTTACCGAAGCCGAGATATATGCGAAATAAAAAATGTTACAACATTATGAACACTGTAGCAAAAAAGAAAGTGACTTTTTCTTCTAATACACTTTTTATACTTTAAACTGCATTTGATGATCAATGTAAATATACCAAAAGATGTAGCGCATTCCAGGCTTTCTTCTTATATATAGTAGGTTAATAGATAAAAAACGTATATTAATAAAAAACAAAAAATTCGAAGGATATAAATTCAATTGTCGTAGACTGTATAATGTTCAGTATGTGTGTCTGTTTGTCAGTGCCAGGTCAAATACTGCTATAAAGGAGAAGGTGCCAAGTGCTATCATATGGAGGTACCCATAGATCCTCAAGGCCTATCCTATATGGATACCTATAGGTCCTCAAGGGCTATATTATGGGGATACCCATAGGTCTTCAAGGGCCGTCCTATGAGGGTACCCATAGGCCCGAAAGGGAGTAAGACAATAAGGGGATAAGGCTATAATGTCGAAGGCTATATGGACTATAAAAATATGTACGACATAAGAGTATGAGGTCGTAGGGCTATCTATATACATAATGTCGCGTGTCCGTATGCTCTTACTAGATGAAAGGTCAAAGTTCTGATTCTGAGATCATCCGCTAAAGGAAAAAAAGATAACCGTGCACTATGCATGGGCCCACGTTAGTAAAAAATTGTTGCAAACATTTTGAGACACCAGGAAGATGATCAGAAAAATTAAAAAACTATTACATGATTGTGTTGTTACTAATTCTCATTCATCGTACAAGCTATAGATCTGAAACTTTGCAGGTATGTAGTACTAACTATGTACAATAATCTAACAAAGTTTGAAGACGTTTGTTTTTGTTGAACGCAAGAACAATGAATTCGCAAATCGTTCCAGAACTTCTAGGACAACCCTTATATATAATGAAAGTAATAAAAGACATTAACCTTTTGAGTCCGGGATAATTTTTGTGTAGTAAAAAGGACGAGAGAGATTGATAGGCAAAGTAGCTCTATAAAAATTTTTTGATTCAAAACCCCAACTATATTATACCAAACGAAAGAGCTTCGTGAGTTGAGTATTTTTTGTGAAGGAACCTGACCTGTTAAATGAAATCATGGAGAGTTTTGAACATGACAACGACTAAAATAACTGAAATTTTACAATTGAGCTTATTGAAAATTCTTCATGGTTTGATTTAAAAGATCAAGTTTTGTCACAAAGAATGCTCAACTCACTAAGCTCTTTCGTTGGGGTGTCGAATCCAAAACTTATTGTAGGGCTGATTCATCTATCAATCTATTTGCGTCCCTTATACTATATAAAAATAATCTCGGACTCAAAGGATTGAAAGTCAATCATTAATCATGAGTAAGTATAGACAATCTTTACCGTACAAATATCTGAAACGTAAATATTCATATAATCCATAGCTTTAAATAACAAAACGATCATGTTTTTCAAAGTTATTCAGAACGAAAAGTCTTAGGACGAGCATTCTCATCATCCGAACCCAATGGGTTAATATAATTCTGTCTAATTAACTAAACAATTATTTAATATCTAAACGAATAAATAATTCGAATCTGTTTAATATAATCATAAAAGAGAATTGAAAACAAAGCAAAATTTAGATTTGTAATTTTCCATAGTACTTTTCTCGTATCTAAAGTATTGTTTTTTATTTCACATCAAGAAAATATTGAATTGTACTTGTCAAGCAGATGAATCTCGAATTGTTTTTAATAGATCTATCAAATAAA